CCAGGCTAGAGGAAGCAGATGCTTACTCCTCCTTCGTCAAGGACAAGCGGTGACTCTGTCTACACCACCTTCTGCACTAAGGGCCATCATGATCTGCCCCTTACAGATGAGGACACTGAGCAAGGAGTCACCTGAGAACCCCCAGTGAACAGCCACAGAGCCCACTGGGTTGGCCTGACCTCCAGAGCCACTCTGCCAAGACTGTGGACACTCTCAGATACCTGAAGACCCCCATTCCAGCCCTGGAGCCCAAGGTTCACCCTCTGCTGCTTCTCCCTATGCCTAAAATCTGGGATCTGACTCCAGTGGTTAAAAACTCATTTCCACATACCTGGTCTCTACCCATCTCTGGTCTCTCCAGCTGTAAATATAGCCAGTCAAGGTTCTTAGCAGCTATATTTCTCAAGAGTGTGGTCAAAGAAATGTTTAGGAGGAACAGGTTGAGAACACTACTTTGCCAGAACTGTTGGGACAGAGGCTGATCCACTCAAGTTTCCAAGTTCACCACCTGCCTTAGGAGAAAACACACTATTCCAAATAACTATTCCAAGTGCCCCCTACTGGGCCCACTTTTTCTTCCCATATGTAATCTCCATGAAGAGTCCCAAGGGATCTTTTAGAAAAGATAACCAGATGAGTAACTCCTCAGCCGAAATATACAACTGGTTTCTCATTTTAGGGAAATTCAGGTCCTCAGTATGGTCGATGGCCCCCTTCCTTATCTGAGCTCTTCCAGTCTTTGAAGTCATTCTTTACTTCTCACTATAGGATCTGACCACATAGGCCTTCTGATGGCTCCTCAACCAATCCTAATTCATCGTTACTTCTGGGTCTCTTGGCTTGCAGGCTTGAGGCTCTTCTGTGGATCTTACATAGCTTGCTCCTTCTCACCACTGGGTCTCTGCTCAAATGCCATCTGTGACCATGCAGCAATGCTGTCCCTCTCCCCATCTGTATGATGAACGCTCTCTATGCAGTTGTTTACTGGAATATTCTCAAACTCCCGCACTAGAATGTAAACTCCAGGAGAAGAGAAGTCTGTTCTACTTTGTATTCCCAATACTCAGTTCACTGTCTGGTATACAGTGGGCACTCCATAAAAATTTTTTCAATAGCTTCAAATGCAAGAAATCTAGCATTTTCAGAGCAATTCCTAGAGGGAATATAACCATGCATATAAGGATAGCTTCACAAGTGGCCCCATATTTCCTTCACTCAATCCCACAGAAGGCTAAAACCATAACAAAACTGAGCAACACTCACAGGAGACCCCGCCTTCAAAAAATTAGTTCATACCAGCTTTAAGGGGAACGTAATTCAAAACATGAAAATTTATTCTAAGTTGTATCTTAACATACGAGATCTCAGCTTTAGATGAATTTTAATGTTTACAAGTGCAAAAGCAAATAAATATTTACCAGTTGCTTTTTTTTTGCACTCCTATAACTCCACAACAGCTTAGACGCAAAAAAAAAATTGTTGCTAAACATCTTGTAGTCTGGCAAAATGAAGAATTTCTTATTAAGAAAACCCCTCACAACAATAACCCTCATGCTTATGGCTCCCTTGCAGAAACAATCACAATGCTTCAATAAGATCTGAACATAAGCTAGAACGACGTGCTTGCCACTGAGAAGGGTGAGATGAGGATCTCAGTGAGCCAGGCCAGACCACCCACGCCATGGTCTCGGTGCAGGTAATGACACAGCCAATGGGAGCGCTGGGATAAAGGGCCACATTTCTTTCTTTCTTTTTTTTCCTTCCTTCCTTCCTTCCTTCCTTCCTTCCTTCCTTCCTTCCTTCCTTCCTTCCTTCCTTCCTCTCTCTCTCTCTTCTTTCTTAAAAAAATGGGATCAGCAGTTAGCATAATGGCTGTGTCGCTGGACTCTCATGTAGTTGACTGCGGTTCAAGTCCCAGACCCAGTGGCTTAAACTCAAACCAGGCATATGTGCGTGTGTGCCCAAGATCCCAAGAGGAGAATGGAGAAGGGATTGCAGCGTGGCCATCCCCCCATGAGGTGATTTCTCGCTTTCTGTCTCTCTGTCTCAATCTGTCTTTCTGGCAAGCGCATGCACCCTATAGCAAAAACCTCTCCAAAAAAAAGAAAAAAAAGAAAGTTTTTTGCCATAGGGTATGTGTACTTACCAGAGAGAGAGACAATGAGAGGGAAAGTGAGAAATCATTCCCTGGGGGTAGGCAGGGAGGTTGGTCACTCTGTAATCCCTTCTCCTCCATTTCCTTTTGAGATTCTAAGCGTGCATGCGCATGCTCCTTGTGTGCTTTTCAAGCTGCTGGGTCTGGGACTCAAACTGCTGTTGGCCATGTGGGAGTCCAGCACCTTGACCACTCTGCCACCTGCTGGCCCCAAGGGCCACATTTCTTGAGTTAAGACTGTGAGTATACCAGTTCGCCCATGCTGAAGCCTTTCATTCCTGAGGTTTCCACGCACGCATCGCTCCTCCTGCATGACTTCTCTTAGCTGACAGATCCCTGTCCTCCCACAATTCTCTTTGACAGCATTGTGTTTATGTGCTCCAATGCCATCTCACAACGGAAAACTTTAGTTTGCCAATTTTCTGCCATGCCAGCTCACCATCTAGCCTGCTTGCTGTCCAATGTTCCTACTACCTAACTTCCTGGGACATGCTCCCGCTGGCTGCTGCCTGTCATCTGTCTGTCTTGTCCTGTAGGCTCTGAGCTATGCGAGGCCGGGACCATGCTTTCCTGGTACAGCACCTGGCCCAGTGCTTGGCACTGAACTGACCAAGCATAAACAGATACACTGAATACATGAATAAGGAATGAAATCGTAATGAATGCACTTAACATTGGCGTCTTTGTTACTCATTTATGTCACTGCCTGGTTGAAGTCCTTGGAGCTATTCTAAGGCAAGAAATAACTTCAAGCAAATGCTATCAAGGAAAAACTTATCCCAGCAAAGATGAGAGAGTAGGTTCTTCTTATTAGAATAAAATGAAAACACACACGCACACGTTTTATATTAGGGACATACATAAACCCAAGAACATTTACCCACTTTGTGAATTTTTACTGACCTTTTTTTTGGGGGGAGGGGGGGTGTCATAGGGTGTGTGCACTCACTGGAGACAGAGAGGAAAAGCGACAAATTCTCCCCCATGAGGATAGCCATGCTGCAATCCCTTCTCCTGCATTCTCCCCTCGGGCATGCACACACACATACACATGCGCACACACACACACACACACACACACACACTCCGCAGCCATGATTCTTAAGCCCACACTCCCCAGTGATTCTTTTTTTTTTTTTTTT